TGCTAAAAATACTTACCCTAAAGTTAGGGTACGTGCAAGTCATATGAATTGGTACGTGTCCGTAGATCGTCCCCACACCAAAATGTTGCAGTCACGGGAGGTCCGAAAATTCTTTAAAGTTCGTTTAGGTTAGGGTTAGGGTCTATGCTAATGTTAAGGTTAGAGGTCTAATAGTAAAATCGCTCAAGGAATTTTTTGCTAGTGCCTAAAGGTGGTTTCTTATGTAAATTTTCGAGTTATGGGCGATTTTTGACAAAGCGAACGTTTCTTTTGAATTTTCCCGATAGTGTAACGTTCCAACTGATCTTGAAATCTGATTTGTTTGCGCCACAAAAATATCACGTGACTAAAGCATTTTGGTGATCTTACCCAGGATCGCCAACAAAGTTTTGCAGTCATGTGATATCGACAAAAATTCTTTAAGTTAGGGTAGGATCTATGTTTTAATAAGATTTTTAAGAATCCTAATAGCAAAATCGCTCAAGGAAAACTTTTGGTTAATGCGCAGACGGTGATTTCTTATGCAGGTTTTTAAGAATAAGCGATTTTTGACAAAACGAACGTTTGTTTTGAACTTTCCAGATCGTGTTACGTTACACCAATTGGTGATTAACAATTGGATAATTTGTCGTCGATCATCATGTGACTGCAAAATTTTGTTAAATCATCAACTAGATAAATTCGTCTATTCGGGCTGGTTCGTGTTGATTTCTTTAGATTGATTGGCCAATCAACAAATTATATTTAGCATTTGTAATGAATCTAATTCAAGATTTTGTCTAAGATATTATTATAATGAGAAAAACTTCACTCAACTTCACATGAAGAAATCAGAAGCCAAATGTATTCTTGGGAAATCTTACATAACTTCTACCTAGCCTAATGCAAGCTAATATTATTGCAAAATTACGATCCGAGCAACTTAGTTTATCGGTTAGCGGGTTTATTAGTAAAATTCGTATAATTAATTGGATCCGAAAGCTCGGGTTAAAGATCGGGTTACACGAATCTCATTTTCCTAATTTGCACAAAAAGAATTTTTTTTTTTTATTCCTAAATAGGAACCAAAATTATACATTACTAACTCACATATGATGACTAATTTTATGACTTCGATTTTAATGTCATTAGAGATTTATATGTCTGGTCTGGTCTTGTCTTGTCTTAAGACCGGTCTAATTAGCTCTTAATATCAAAACTACACTAAAATAGAATTGGCTGATATTGGATTGTTAACATTTCTATTTGTATACGTAGGGAATGTACCGTCGATGATTGACTGCATATATGTGTTGTAAGTTCTTAGGATTTTTTAGGGTTAGGGTGTAGGTTTATATGTATAAATAAATTCTATGCTTAGATTGTTAATTTTATTAAAAAAATTCCAAATCCACCTAAATTCTGTTCCCACTTACAACATATATATATACATATATGTGTAAATGCATAGATGTTGTAAATCGTTCATATTGTGAAGTAAGCAATAAATAATATATAATTTATATAAATTGAGATAATTGTGACATTTGTTTCCTCTGGTATGTCTATGGAACAATTAATTTACAATAAAATTATCATTTTAAAAATTGGTCAGATTTAATCCAGATCATTCAAGAAGCACATTTGTTTTTTGAATATTGTTTTTTTTTTGCAATATATAATTTGTCTTTAACCCATGATAATTCTAAATAAGAAAAAATCCAATATTTATAACCCAAAATTTAAAATGATAGTATGCATTTTTCAAAACAAACGGGGTGAAGAAAATAAACAACGAGGAACAGATGCAAAAGGAACAAAGCCCAACAATTATAATACAAGAAATTACGAAATACGAATGTGCAGATAATTCAATAATAATTAAAAAAGAAGGTACATTTCAAAAGGTTAACAAATCTAAAATACGATTTGAACATTTAATTCAACATTATTTAAAAACTAAAATCTTAAATCAATTTCAATTACGTAGGAACTCGCATATTTCCATCGTTTAATAGGTTCTCAACCCAGTATAAGATGATTTCCATTGAACGTGCAGTCCAACTATCATCCTTAACGACCTCATAAGGTAACCAGTCACTATACGAGTATGGTCCTTGATTATTATCAAGAACAAATACAGACGTAATGATACCAAAGAAGTAGATAACCAGAGTATATAATGCAAGGGTTACAGTATTGTTGACCATGGCATTGCGTTGAGCAACATTCATATCATTATTTCGTGGGACAAGAGCCCTGGATGATTGTGCATTTTCAGCCCTTTCTGAAGGTGGCTATGATTATAAATACACAATTATTAAGTATATAGTCAGTTATTACATTTAGATATAATATTTAATAAATTAAGTTTATACCTCATTTTCTGACACATGGTTTACTATATAGCAAAATAGAGATGAAAATAATGTTACAAATTTATGTATAAATAACTAAATATTTGATGAAACCTTCAAACTAACCTTTCCGTCTATTTTTGCGAGAAGACGTTTGACGTGATAATCTCCTTGTTAAATCAGCACTATCACCATCCATACTGTTACGTATCTGTCGATCTCGCCTATCGTGTGGAGAAGGTAAATCTCGATTCCTTAAAATTCCTTCAATCAATGCATATTGCACCCCTAGCTCAGATGATAATATCTGATATTGTGATTCTACATCTCTACTGCCTGTAGAGTTACGTGGAGAATTGTTTGCATCTGTTGCTTGTCGGCGAACTGGTCTTTGACCGTTTGATCTTCGAACGTGATCCTCAGCACCTCTAGATTTCTCCACTTCACCAGGTCGCGAGTATAAAGATTCATCGTCATTTGTTTTACGTGGTCGAGATTCCTAAGTAATGTGGAATGTAATAAATAATTAATTAATTAAATATATTTTATTTATTAAACAAAGAATATTTACCTTGTTTGATCGTCTAAGTTCATCCGTGTTTGAATCGGAACCTTGTTGCTCCTCGGATATTGAAGCAAGAGCAGTATCATGCAACTCAGCACGTAAATTCTAAGTCAAGAATTTTTCATTAGCCATTAGGGAGTAATTTTTTTTTTTTAAAAAAAAAAATAATAATAATGATAATAAGAATAATAATTGTTGTCTTACCTTTCCGGAACCAACGTCTTCCACATCAAATTCAGTAAGCTTTTGTTAAGGATTATAAAACAATATCTTAATCTTTTTTTTTATCATCATGTATTATAAAGAAAATATAAAGGATATTTTTTATTGCCAATAGCCCTTCCACTCCGTATTTCATCCAAGTCAAGCTTCAGTTTGTCAATTGTCTCTTTGAGATGCATGTTTTCATTTTTTTGTTCTTCGAGTTCAATCTCTGAAGCTTGAGCGGAAGTTAAATCTTGTTCTAATTTACATAATGCATGTTCCAAACGTTCGCGCTCATCGAACCACTATTAATGGAAGATAATTTTACTATAATTACTTTGAATTAAAAACAAATAAAGGACTTATACCTTTTTTTCTTCAGAAGACATAGCATTGAGATTTCGTTGCGTATTAAATAGTTCTTCCTCTTTGATCTTGACAAGATCCCTGAATTTCTCCGCCTCCTCTGTAATTAATGTATCAGAGAGTTATTAAAATGATATACAAAAGTAATCCAAGATTCACATCCATAGTAGGTACCGCGTTGTTCTTCGTATTGTTTTTTTAATTGATGATAGAGTTGCATTTGGCCAGATAAATTTTTTGCTATTATCTGAATTTCACCTTCCAACTAAAAAGTATGCAATGAAATTAAGCATGTTAATCGAAATATATACATATATAAAGAATTTTTATGTACTGATAAACGTAGGAGTAAATATAGATAATAAATAATCGTACTTGCGCAATTTGATGTAGGTTTGTTTTTTCTTTATTTTTATGGTCTTGAATTTCGCGCTTTTTAGCCACAAGATCCGCTTTTGTCTCTTCCAGCTTATGCTGAAGTTCTTCAATACGGTCTTCGTGTTGACGAGCAACAGAAGCCAAATGACGTTCAGATTCTTTGAGTCGTTTTGTAAGGTCAACAGTGTGACGGTATAATCTGCTGAGTTGGACAGCAGGATCATCGTTAGTCTATTAAAAGGAAAGAATTGTGAGAATTTTTTTTTTAAAAAAAAAAAATATAGCAGTGTATTAGAGTATATAATATAAGTATGCCTTACAGGTAATAGTTGGGAAACTGTATCATCAAATCCGCCACTTCCCTCGAATGACATTTCATGATCATCGGATGTATCATAATGTAGTTTTGAGAAATTAGAGCCCAGCACGCCGCTGGGAGAATCATAATATCCAGACGACATTCTTCTGGAACGGTTTGTTGCACTAGTACTCGAAGAGCCATATTCTTCCCCCTTTACAAAATAAGTAATATAAACTTATTATTAAATAGGATAAAATATTTTATTAAGCGTAATAAAGACTTACATCTATTTCAGTAGAAATTGTTAAGGCTTCTCTACTTTTATAAGTACGTGGTGAAGGACGATTCCAAGCAGATCGTATAGAACCATATTTGATCTTACTTTTGGTCGGCTGCTCTGAAACAACATTAGAACTAGAAGACAAGGACGCTGTAACATTCGTTGGAGGTGTTTTGAGTTTAGTAACAAGTTGAAGAACATCATCAACGGAAACCTCCATATCAGGATTCTGTTCGCAGAACATTTGAAGAGTAGTACGGTCTTCATCTTTCAACAAATTAGTCTTTTGTTCGGATTCGAAAGCTTCGATTATCTTGAACAGGTCTTTAGAAGCAATTCTTCCAAGTCCAGACTTATCGAAGGGTGCAAACATTTGTTCCAGTTGAGCTTTTAGAGAAGCGTTATCTCCAAACTAACAAATAATAATGTATAGTAAATGGTATTTAGAATTCATATAAACGTTTTAAGAAACGATTACAATTATCGTTAACGAAATTGGTTAAATGAAAAAAAAGGAACATTGAAATTAAGTTTCCGTTTGATGTTAGTAGTCTTATGTAACGAACCTATGTGCAAGCACAAGAGTATTGGAAAACAGTACAACAGAAATGTAAATGAACTATATAATCTTTGTTAATATATACTAACCCTTTCAGCTTCCTTTTGCTCATCGGAAGGAGGCTGCCCGTCCATTTTTGGCGGGCTAACTTGATCCATCTTAGTGCAGTATATTGGGTAGGTACGTCCGCTTATAAAAGAAAGTTAACACAAAATATTATAAAAGAGGGAAATGTGTTTAGCTTGTAATTATTAGCTGATGCCTTTCACCGGTTGACTCTACAATGCCAAGTAAAAATCGTCGTAGCCGGTGTGCGGAGATTGAAAAGGCGGAAGCTACCAAATTTGATTATAAGGAAATTATTCTGCGTTACTACTTCTTATTGTCGTGTGATTTACAATATTTAAATATAAAGCATATACTGAAAAGGAGGGAAGGTGGCGAAGAACGTTGGAAAAAGGTGATGAATATAAGTCACACAAACAGAAGAGAAGGAAATAATCTTTACTTGGTATTACCAACGTTTCAAAAAAAAAAAATAGCTTATAATAATGTACGTACACTTTGTACGGTGATTGTACGTACCCTCTTAAATAATGGTACGAACGCAAAAATATTTCTGTGCGGAAATTTAGTATTGTGCGGGGCATCATGCGTGCGTGAATAAGCATATATATTACAAAGTTCGAACCAACATTTAAGGTCACATGACAGAATAGCCGGAATTAAAAAATCTTGCTTAAATTGTTCAACTCTACTAACTCTACTTAACGTTAACGTTTAATTTTGTATACAGTACTTGTTACTGTAGCAATCAATACGATACTGGGACCAATACATAATTAATACATCAATACAATGCACATGAATTTTAAGATTTTATATAACAAATATAAAAAATCGGTTTGTCTAAAATATAAGAAAATTTCTTTAAAACTAACCCGGCCGGGTTATGAGAACTAATTAGTTAACTTTGTATGGAATTAAATTATTTTGACGATCCTGTCAAGCAAGACTTTACGTATTAGTTTATTAAATTCCAAACAAGACAATCAGATATATATTTACAAATACAGTCAGACCTCTCTATAGTCACCTCCTTTATAGTCACATTTGCTTATAATCACACTTGCTTATAATCACATAATTTTTAAAACCAACTTATCGTTACATAATACTTATAAAATTTGACCTCTATATAAGCACAAACTCTTTATCGTTATAAGCACCAAATCTTAAAACCAAGGGTGTGATTATAGAGAGGGTTGACTGTATAAGATTTTCGATAAAAAAAAAGGTCTTATAGTTTGTATAATTAGTACTATCTCAAAAATGCATACGTACAGTACGTAAGTCGCATATGTTTTACGTATTACTGTATTATATTTATATTGTATTATAATAATTTTTTTCTAACGCTAAGATATTACGTTAGTGTTAAATACAGTATTTGTGTACAAAGTTTTGACGTTAATCAAAAAATTCCGGTCGAATGATCGGAATTAACTAATTTTTTCTAAAGTTACTCAAAATTAGCTGTAGAACGTTACACGGTAATTCAGTTGATTTTAAAAAAATTTTCAGACTCAGAAACTTTATTTCTTTTGTAAAACAGATCAACAATATTAATAAACTTGAAGTTTTTACTTAATTTAAATTAAAAAAAAAAAAACAAATATAAAGAATATAGATTTGAGATTTGGGTTTTATAGAAGTTTTAAAATTTTTTACAAACAAGGTTAACAGTTTGAGTTAGGCTAAAAGCAATTTTGTTTTTGTAACTTATTGAAGTCATAAATTAAATATAAAGTTTTGTAAAAAAGCTTAAGTACAAATACAAATTTGAAATAAAAAATTTTTAAAAGAAGATTCAATTGTAAAATATATGTAATAGTAGTATTACAAAAAATTACAGTTATAAAAAGATTATACATATAAGTTTTTAAAACTAAAACAATATCAATATCTTTATATCTTCTAATATAAATAGTATTAGTATTTTTACATTTAACTTATAAGATATTTGCTTGAAAAGATAATTAACAAATTATATAAATAAGTTCTAATTTGAATTTAAGAGTGAATTTTTTTTTTTTTTTTTTTTGAACTATAAACAGTCATGCTAGTACTTTATTAAGATTTTTGCAATTGCTACAATTACATAAATTTACCTAACAACTAAGTCTAGCATCACCC